AAACTGGCGGCTTCGGTGTGGCTCGAACCCAAAGAGCAGGGCAGGCTCCTGTGCAGCGAACGCTCTACCATTGAGCTACGAGGCTTACCAGGCACCGTTAATTTGATCAAAATTGAGTCGATTTGTTTGCCCAACCTTACTGCATGTACAGAATCCACCAATACGGACGCAGTAAGCTGACTGCCAGGCAGGATTTCCCAAGTGCTCATCAAGGATCCACCGGATGGACTACTAGGCTAACGTTGGTTGGTAGGGGTTTAGCAAAAAAGCAATAATTTCTGCTGACGCAAATGTGAATTGGAATTATTGAAATCTGCCAAACCTCTAATAGTGATGTTTAGCCTGTGAGTCCAATCCGGGGGATCGTGGGTAATAACGTAGGAAATCCTGCCTGAAAGTCAGCCTACTGTATCCATACTGGTGAATTCTATATGATCAGGAATTTGGCCAAGCGATCCAACCCAGGTGTGCTTAAATTCATGGCTGACGGTAAGCCTCCTACCTCAATTATAGAGCGTTGACTACGCGAACGCCTTCACTGCTGTGTGGGTTCAACTTCCACCGAGGCCGCGAGTTTTTACCTATTGGGTTAACTGAAACACATATATATATCCCGTTCATCATCCTCCAGAGAATATGAGGAAGAAAATAGAACGTCTTCATAGAACCAACTGTACTTGTGCTGATGTTTCGAATATATCCTCGTTTCCGTCATCAGATTGGTGAGATAGTCGGTCCTGCTTGCCGAAAGTTGTTTTTTCTCGCTGCTTGCCTACTATTCTAGGCCTGCCTAACGCAGTGACTCTGGCCATCCAGCTGTTTGCAGATTGGCTTTGACAACTCCGTGGCCGACTGCAGACCGCTTCGTGTGCCCCTTGTTGCCTGCATTGTGCTTTTGCTGTTTCATATGGCCATACATCAGTAACAATATATTCTTTCAGTTGACTGTCAGCTGCTGTTCGTGTAGCCCTGTACACGAACATACACGAACAAACATACCTCGCGCTGTAATGATGGCGGGATATTCAGCAGACAACCGCTGATTTTTCCGTTGTCGGTTGCGGGTTTTTGAATCTCATTATCTGCTGTCGGATAGTCAAAAGCCCTTTATGGGCAATACGAATTCCAGAAGGGTTCAGGATTTGAGCTGTCGCCCCCGAAACATTCACCACTTACGGGATGGCGAGCCAAAACTTCGGTTATTCGTCGCTTGGTCGTTCGCGGGTGGGTTTTCTTTGGCACTCACAGAGGAAAGACCGTGGGTAACCCTTGACTATGAACAAGGTGTGTACATATTCCACCTCCTTGTTTCCCCGACTCATCTGTACAGTGTATTTGAACCCATTGGAATAGAGGGCAAAAGTAGCTTATGTAGCCCCACTCATATACCCCTAGTCCCAGCATTTTGTCCTGCAAAAACGGTGGTTAGAGAGTTTTGTGGGGTGGGAAAATAGGATAGACAGAGAAGGAAATTTTTAGAAGGGCAGATTGTGATGTGGCTGAGCTCAATCCTCATCCAACCTCCTTCGAAATCTACTGAACTTTTCTGTGCCATCTTATGTGACCGCCATAAGGAGAATTCAGTCATCAACATCTTGTTGTGAAGAGATATGGAGATCCTCAACCATTCGAAGTCCATCGAGGCTAGGCCACAGTTCCTTTCTAATCAAGCAGTTGAATGCTTGCATCCAGACCTTCTTCTCAACATATGATCCTGATTCTATTGCAAACGGTATCTCCCCCCACTCCACTCAACCAAAACTGACATGGCATACCGATTTGCCGTCGACGCACAACTCCGTCTGGCTCACTTGTGCCAGCCAAAGCCGCTCACGCTGTTCAAAACACTACCGTTGGCACTTACCTCGTTTGCGATATTTAACTATTCTTCCTCCGTTCGGATTCTTTCATCACCCAAACTCCAATCTGGGAAGGGAGCAGAGGTGTCAACATTCTCATGATTTCGTCGCCGATTCCTGAGAAGGCAATCTCGCCACCTGGTTATCAAAGACAAGCCACGAGGAGAAGAAGTTAGGGGTTAGAACCGAAACTTACTAAGTTACAGCCGGTTGAACTTGGCTAACTACCTCTCATCTAAAAAAAACTTCCCCAACCTACTCAGTAGAATCTGCCTTGATACACCTTTCACGAGGGGGGGAGAAAATTATTAGCAGCTATCATTACTTGCTGCGCTCATCAGGCGATGTCTCAACTGCAGACTAGAGACGACGGTTTACAGAAAGGCAACAAACACAGTACAGCTTCTCAATTCTCACAGCGGCTCACAAACAACGTTGTTGGTCCAGACTCACTGCAATAACCGATGCCCCAGAATTCTGTAATATGGGACCTATCATAATGAGGGTTACACGGGTGAGGCATTACGTAGCCGCGGGAGACAAAATGGAACAAAGGTAGGAAAAAGAGCAGGAAAAAGAAGATAACATAATTATAAAAAGTTAATCTGTAGAAAGGGAAAAGTGTATAGTAATTGAAAAATGACTTAAATTAAGAACTAAATAAATAGCCATTATTATCGGCCCCGTAAGACGGAATTCTGGGGGTTTGGTTCCCTTTTAGGTACCTATAAGATACTACTACCGATGTATGGCCTGCTTTATGTGCATGACAGATGGTTCAAAAGCAACCGAACATTCTCCTGTGAGATCAGACGGAGAAAGTGCCCACTTGCCAAATATTTCTATGCGCCGCAAGGTCATTAGCACAAATGGCTGATTGAATCAAAGTGGACGGCAAGGCGTACTGTGCATTGTTTGCCGCGCGTAAGATCGCCCCGAATCCATGCTCGAATAGCGCATACACGAGTATAAGATGGCTGGGCGCCGGGGTAACCGGATAGCCCAAGGGATCATTCATATCTTCGAAGATTCGACGTCATCAAGATAATCCTCCACGCCGTAAACAATGCCGGCTGAGCATTGACTGCGGCCAAGACCTCGGATGATAAGTAAACTAATTAATGTGTAGATATGACGTCGGCATACAGAGCCCTGAACCGCCACCTGCATACCCGCGTCACTGGCCATTATTTGGCTTACATCCCTTAAAATGGTCGCACGTTCCGTTACGTTTCTTTACTCTCTAACGACATCCTATGGCACGATTTCGACCAGTCTTCTTCTGGCCTACACAATAATGGTCGCTTTTGCTATCCATGGCCCTTTAAACAGCAGTCTATGCAACTTAGTTGATGACTATGGAAATAAATCGAAGCATCTGAATCGAAGCATTTGAAAAAACGGTAGACAAAATTCCCTGACATATCAAAGCTATTTTTCTTTTGAGCGTTTTTTCGACTTTTAAAAGAACAACGGAAAATGTGAAAAAAAACTTTAGGCATTTATTCAGTTTATACAAATATATAGGTAAAATATCACATCTGGTAACAGCCATTCTTGTTTATGGTCAAGACAAAGTCATGGGGCAAGTAAAAAGATAGTACGTATCACATTTCTGGATACTAAGGCATATAACGAAAACATAAGGTTACCGAAAAAAAAGAATGGAACGGAGGATGGAGGGATAAGAGAGGTCAGACTGAAACTGCGGAGTAAGGTAGTGCCAGTTTTAATCTTCATGCAAATCCGAATGGTGGGAAAGGGCATGACTGAGGCGCAGAAACTCAATAATGGACATGCCGAGCTCCGAACGCAGTTGGACACAAAAACTCTCTGGTGCGACAATTCTCTGGCGAGCTAGCTCCCACAGCAAACAGCCGTCCAAGCCTTCGAGGGCCTCATTGAACTTGGAAAGGTTGCATTCTGTGAGCCATTTGACCACCTGTCCCGCAGACCAGCTGCGGATGAAGCTGGGTGGGAGGCTTACCTGAGAATCGATCTCGATGATGGAACTGTTGTGCGACTTGCACACTGAACCCGCCTCCAAAAAAGCATGCTTGATTAACTCCGTAGCTGAGGTGGGTCCCGTGGATTTTGAGAGACAATTGCCGTTGGGGGACTTAACGTGGGTGTCATTCATTACAAACGTCTGGGGTGTTGGGTTATCGAAGAAGATACCTGAACTGGTGGCAGTACTGGGATTGAGCGTCGGATTTTCGCACAAACTCCGAAATTCCATGGGTACCGAAGGGTTTGAGTTATCAAAAGAGTCAATAATTATGTGTGATGGTGCTAGAAAGACGAAAACAACAATATCAGTGACATCATTGACAATTTGAGGATAGAAAAGTGTGAATGAAAGAAAAGTAAAGCTAGGAGGGGAAAGAATTTTCGCAAAGAAACACCTAATAGAATAAAAGGGCTTCAGGAGTACTGGCCGGCAGAGATAAATTGGCGCTCAGAACTACGTGGCTCGTTTCTTCACAGGACACCGACAATGTTAAGTGTATTATGGCTCACGATTAATATCACCAAAATTCCCCAGCTTAGACAACAACTTTAAATCTATTCAAGGACTGTCTTATTTTCGGATAGAAACGACTGCATTGTTCACTCATCGGTGGTGACAATCTGCCCTCCGTGTTGGTGGTAAGACCGACGTTTGCGCAATTGTCGGCGAAGAGTTCCATACTCATTTGCACGTCCGCTTCTGTTGCGGTGTTGAAAGCGCAGTCGTCCGCGAGCAGCAAGTCATGAGCTGTGGTAATGGAGAGGCGCGTGGGAACCTGCAAACGTCGGATGTTGAGAAGCTGCCCGTCCGTTCTCTAGCTGATGCGGATCCCGGGGGACGCTCTTCACGGTGGGCATCCATCAGAATAGCACAGAACATAAGAATGAAGAGGGCACGCGCAAGGACACAGCCTTGCTTCACTCCG